ATATATATATATTATACATATGACGTATGTATAATATATTTCATTTAAGACAGACATGGGAAATAAGATCAAAATCAACTGAAGGCACTTTGTACCAGATGATGGGAGAAATTTAGATTTAGTCTAATCCAGTAGACACAGACACAGCACTATAGAAAGCATATTTTGAGACAAATAGTGGGTTGTTACTTAAGACATGGTGAACTTGACAGGTTTATTTTCAGATGCCTTATTCTTGAGTATGAGGGACAGACCTGGCAATCAACTGTGTAGAAAGTGTAGGGTGATTCTATTTTTGGAAGGTCTGTAATATGAATTAACAGTTCGATTGTGATATTTCAGAAAGATTGGACATCCTGAGGAGATTACAGCACAAACGGCACCTGCGGTCCTGCTGACAGCTCACTCTGTAACAGGACTTTTCTAAGGAGCTCACAATGAACAAATAACATGAGAGCGTAAAGAGGAAGGAAAGAAAAAAAGATTGGGCTGACGTAAAGAAAAGCATAGGTTTGAAACTAAAAGCAAATAGAACCACAGAGATGTACTGCTTTTTCCCTTTCCAGAAACAAACGTCAAGCCTTGAAACCCCTGATTACCATATCTGCAAATGCTTCAGTATAACAAAACTTTTGAATCCAGCTGTGCTGCAATGCATCTTAGAAACAGACAGTGCACACTGGCAGTGCATTTCCTGCTAATGCAGACCTCCATAATGGCCTACACGCTGTCTTTCAGAGAAAAAGATCATTTTTAGAGCACCCGTGGTGATATTCCCAGCTTCTCTGATAAACAGTCTCTGTAGGACAAACAGCATAGCTCAGACTATTTCCTGCAATCCATCCCATTCCCTTGTGAGCGCTTAGCCCCTAACTCACACCGATGATCCATTACTGCTTTTTTTGTCCTATCACCAATACCCCCCACACATCCTTCCATCAGGAGGCTGGTCCACTCACTCTGCCCTTTCTCTGGCTGGGAACGAGACGGGCAGTCCACATATGAAAGGTTAATAAATGCCCTCTGAAGCCTAACTTGCTAGAGAATTGCTAAAACGCAGGCTAAGCCCAAAGATCTGCCGAATGAGGATAAAGAAAAGGAAAATTAACCTTTTGTCCACTGCTGGCAATTCAATCCAAGGTTCCCCTTTAAGTATAAGATGAAAACTGTGGCTGAAGGAGCAATAACGACTCATTTATAGACAGAGAACAGAAGAGCCTTCATGCTTTTATCTGCACAGCACAATATTACCATCTTAATACTGAGGGATAAAAACATGGAGGTGATGCACCAGCCATTCTAAGAAAGGAAAAATGATGAAGAAGACTAGTGAGATAGCAGGCTGAGTCTGAATTCCTGTACTGTCATTCAACCAGAGTTGGGGAAGAATGATAGTTTGCCAAGCAACTCATATTTAAAGTAATTAAACTACAGCGAAGCTATGAACCATTTAAACGAATCAATTGACTAAAATTTAAATGCTACAGGACAGTTTAGGAGGGTATGTTTCAATGACAGTTATCTTGAGCTGAACACAAAAACAGTGGTGTCATTTATGTCATGTTAATATAAAGGTGTAGGGATATGTGGAACACATGACCTACAGTAGCTCTGAATATAAACTACTATTCAAAAGTTTGGGGTTGGTAAGAGCTTTTCATGTTTTTTAAAAGAAGACTCTTATGCTCATTAACGCTGCATGTATTTGATAAAAAATACAGCAAGATAACAATTTTTTTTAATCTAAATATATATTTAAAATGCAGTTTATTTTTATAATGGCAAAGCTGAATTTTTAGCAGCCATTACTCCAGTCTTCAGTGTCACATGATCCTTCAGAAATCAAATAATATGTTGATTTTATGCTCAAGAAACAATTCTTATTATTATCAATGCTGAAAACAGTTGTGCTGCTTAATATATTTATGGAAAATGTGATTATTTTCTGTCATACAGGATTCTTTGATGAACAGAAAGTTCCGTTTATTTGAAATGGAATTTTTTTTGTAACATTATGCATGCCTTTACTGCTACTATTATATAGTTACTTAATAGTGAATAATAAATCTTACTGGACCCTAACTTTTGAATAGTAGTATAACGTTTAATGCTTTCAATCCAGTACAAGTTTAAACTAGTAAATCGTGTAAATGATTAAAAAAAGACATACCAGAATAGTGGTAACAATATATGTGCGATTCTGAAGTCCGTAAGTGTCATTACTGCCTGGCATGTAGGCCGCCGTGCTCACAAATTTCTCATCCTCATTCCAGTAACCCACCTGAGAAATGATCAAATCAGGGACAGGAACTTGAGCATCATCAGAAACCTTTCTGAGATATCCCACAGGAGACACTACATGTAATACAGTACTCATTTAGTTAGCCCAGAAGAAGTAGACTGGATTGCTGAAACAGTGACCATACTGGAGCTTATCAAGT